TTTGGGGCTGTTGTTAATTCATTAGGAAAACGTTGTAAAGCATATTTACCACAAATATGTGGTACAATATTATGGCGTTTAAATAATAAAGCAGCTAAAGTACGACAACAAGCAGCGGATCTCATACAAAAAATAGCTAATGTTATGAAATTATGTGCAGAAGAAAAATTAATGGGACAATTAGGACTTGTTTTATATGAATATCTTGGTGAAGAATATCCTGAAGTTTTAGGAAGTATTCTTGGAGCATTAAAAGGTAAGAAGATGGTCTTTTTTACTTAATAGAAATCAATGATTCAATATGACATACATGTTTTATTTTTATTTTGTAGGAATTGTTAATGTTATTGGTATGACTAATATGACACCACCTATTAAAGATTTATTACCAAGATTAACACCTATTTTGAAAAACAGGTAACATTTTGTTTTGCTTCTTATTTTCGGATATAAGTGATTGGATTTGTATGTAATGAAATGCGAAATTTCGACTATGATATACTATTGCAAATTAGATTTTCGATATATTCTACAATGCATAACTATTCGTACAAATGTCGAGGTCTGCTGTGTTTGAATGGAAAATACTGGAAACTTAACTTGTTCATTTAAAGATATAGCAAAAAGTAGGCAGTTTAAAATGCATTTTTCAGCATAAAATTTAGGATGTAGTTTTAATGTTTTTAAAACCATTAGTAATGGCTTGTTACGAAGGTATTAAAACTTAGAAAAAAAAGTCTATGTAATCTAGATTTTATTGAAAATCGATTTTCTATTTTTCTGCGTACCCAAGAAAATCAGGAATTTGCGTTAAAAGGAAAACTAGTATACTTCATGGTTTTTTAACAGAAGTTTCAAACAATAATAAGAAAAAAACTGTAAAAGGTGTTTAAAATATGCAGCTTTTTGATTTCTACAAGAATATCAATGAAACATTAGAGAAATTCATTGTTGAATGCATTTTACTTAAACTTTGTTTCGAATCACAGCTAATATAGCTACTTTAAATTTATATCTCATTTGAAAACATTGAAAAAAATACACAGTCAAAATATAATAGAATTCCTTATTTTACTTTCGTAATAAGCCTTCTTTTTAAATGGTTTTAAACTACTTCGTCAGTTTAATATTGAATATGTATTTCAAAATACACACTTGATTTCTATTTGTGAGGGAAAAAGTTAAACTTCTAGAATTTTTCGTTCAAACACAGCAAACCTCAACATTTGTGCTGATATATTTATGCATCGTAAGTTATTTAATTAAAAGTTACAAACATAAATCATATTCAATTTTAATCCTTCACAGCGATTACGGAAGAGTAGTTGATAAACTAATTTTAGAAATACAATATTAGCTTCTCAAATATGCTAATAGTGTGATCAGATTCATATGACATTCTGCTTTGTGGTATAAAATGTTTTTTGTTATTCGAGTAAACATATAGTAGAAAATAGAGATAGTAGCTTATATTCAATGGTATTGAAGTCATAAAACCAAAGAAGACATGAATAGATAGAAACTAATTTTGAAACCATGTATGTGCTTTTGATACATATTAATAAATAATGATTTATTTTTCTTTGAGATATTGTATTACAAATGAAGACATCTTATCCATATTAAATATTATTTCAGTTTCTCATATGATGAGATTGACAATACATACATTAAATCTATTGTTGATTGTTCTCTGTTTGCCTAATAGTGACGACACAGTCTATTTTCGATTTGTTGTCTATAATTCGTAAAGTCTTATATTAATCACTAGTAAGCTTCTTCAAGAGTCTGTATCACATAATAAGCCCTCAAGACTTCTATTTGCTGAAAGTAGAGAATATTTTGTAAGTCCGATATTTTGAAGATGAAGCGATGAGATGAAGCGTTCGTTTTTTACTAATCGATAGTTCATGTAAATTTTTACTACAAAGCATATTTTTGACGGTTTGAAATTCTATGGATCATCTAGTTTTTATAGTCGATGTATAAATGATGATGCCAGTGACCAGTAAGGAGTAAAGACTTAAAAGAAAACAAAAGCCTGCAAATAAAAATCTTCATAAAAAATTTCGTATTTATTTTTCTTTTAAAATAGACATGAAAAAGTTCAAGAAAATTGCATTGATCTTGTTGGTCGTATAGCTGAGTTAGGTGCCGAACATGTACCAGCTAGAGAATGGATGCGTATTTGTTTTGAATTACTTGAATTACTTAAAGCACATAAAAAATCCATACGTCGTGCTGCTATTAATACATTTGGTTATATAGCTAAAGCTATTGGTCCACATGATGTTTTAGCTACATTATTAAATAATCTTAAAGTACAAGAACGACAATTACGTGTTTGTACAACTGTTGCTATAGCTATTGTATCTGAAACATGTTCACCATTTACTGTTTTACCAGGTAAATCATTTTGTTTTGTTTTCTTTTTTTCGATTTACATATTCTTTTTTGTTTTTTAATAGGTTTAATGAATGAATATCGTGTACCAGAACTAAATGTTCAAAATGGTGTATTAAAAGCATTAGCATTTATGTTTGAATATATAGGTGAAATGTCAAAAGATTATATATATGCAGTAACACCATTGCTTGAAGATGCAATGATGGATAGAGATTTAGTTCATCGTCAGACAGCAATGACTGCTATTGGACATATGTCATTAGGTGTATTTGGTTTTGGTTGTGAAGATGCATTATGTCATTTATTAAATCATGTTTGGCCAAATATATTTGAAACAAGTCCACATGTTATTCAAGCATTTATATCTGCTATTGAAGGTTTACGTGTTGGTCTAGGACCAGGTCGATTACTTTATTATGCATTACAAGTAAAGATTTATTTTTATAATCAACTAATTCATTTGTTTTTATTTTTTATTTTTAGGGCCTTTTTCATCCAGCTCGACGAGTACGTGATGTTTATTGGAAAGTATACAATACATTATATATTGGTGCACAAGATACTTTAGTCGCTGCATATCCACATATTGTTGATGACAGTATTCGTCCAACAATAGATGAAAGTGAATCATTAAAAAAACATGTTGAAAAACCGCGTAATGATTATGCACGATATGAACTTGATTATATTTTATAAAAAACAAAACAAAAAAAAAACTATCATCACTGTTCATATATGACTTAAAAACAAAAAAAAAAACATTTGCATAGTAGTGTATTGTCTATGAGGGTATGTTTATTCTTTTCATCTCATCGTTCGATATGTATATGTACGTCGTATATTACGTGCGATATACTAATACACATTTAAAAAAACAGACTAATTTTAAATAAAAAAAGAAAAACCAACTGAAAACATTTTTTTCGTTTTTTTTCTTTTCTTTTCTTTTCTTTAATGTATGTACGTTTGTTTGTTTCCTTTGTTTTTCTTTTTTGTGCTGGTATTTTTTTTTTCTTTCGTGTTCATAATAAAAAAAAAAAAGATATACTCAACTACGAAGAGAAAGAAATTAGATCGAAATTAATATTTCATAGAAAATGAATAATCAAGAATTGAAAATTTTTATGAGTTTGTCTTCTTCTTTTGTTAAATCTTTAAATATTAAAATCGTTAATGAAAGAAAACTATGTGACAAATCCATTTGATGAGTTAAAGAAAACTATGTAAGCAAGATCATTTTGCAAATATTGTTGTTTGTAGACAAATAGCAGTGTGTGTCAACAATGAAGTTATCTTATATGAAAAAGATATGATGAAAATAAAACTTTTTCTTCGTAGCATTGTGATGAATAGTAACATGGATGTTCTATTTAACATAGACATAATGAGACGAAAAAAAAAAACAATAAGATCTAACGAAGGAAGTCCTTCAACTGATAAATCGTCTTTGAGTGAAGACTACATACATTATATAGATTCAAATGACCTACGAATATTCTGTAAAGAGTTATTGTTGTGAAGATACTACTTGAAACTTTGCACAAAGATAGACCTTAGTGGAAATAGTTTCTTGTGAAAATTTCAGATTTTGTGTTATTTCTATCTTAAGATATATCTATGGTTAAAGCGTGTCTTTTACGTCATTCATATGCACCAACAGATTCGTTATTCTTATTTTAAGATAGAAGTAAATCAAACGACTTCAAACGTTGATAATAAACTAGTCTCGTTAAAGCCTGTTTCTGTATAAAATTTTAGGTCGAAATACGAAAATCAAGTTTTCTGGTGTTTCATAAGAGAAACTATGGCATTTATTTAAAAAACCTACCGTAAAAATTTAGTGTCTACACAGTGATAAGCGATGAATATGAAATCTTCCCAGGATATTGACAACTCCTTTGGGTTTACTTAATGCACGTAGTGTCGACATAAAAGAGAGTTATCAGTTACAGGATTTCTTTCGTAAGCTATATTTTGGATATGAATTTATAGGAATTATAAATCAGTAAAATGCATTAAGAAAAAGGAGAATAAAGTTATGAAATTATTATGTGTTGTTTGATAAAATATTCGAATGAATGACGATTCAACGTATCGATCATATTAAAGCTTGAGCAAATAAATGTAATTATATCAACTGTTTGTTTTTTGTTTATGTCATGATTAATCTATTTAAAAAATAGAAAAAAAAGTTACACATGTTATTTGTGCTTTCTAGAAGATGTTTTATCTTTTATTTAACGTTACTCACATCATATAGATAACAAGAGCATAAAAAAAATTAAAATAGCTTATTTAACTAATGGTGTAAGAATAAGTAAAAACGAGACTTCCATAGATAACAGTATCTTCGTTTGTTTCTTTTTTTTCTAGCCCTTATCTTTAAAATTAAAGCAAATAAAAACCGAAGGCAGTAGTTATTTTGTTTTTATTATTATTATTTTTCACTACTAGTTTCTTGTGATGCTACTACGCTAATTTGCGTGTAAGAGTATAGCAAATATAATTTTTACAAAATGACGTCTAAATTTCTATTTCTTATTTTGTACATATTACAATGTATTTCTTTCACTAACGGACAAAAGGTTATACCAATGACGCCAGTGGATTTATGTGTACCATCATTAGTTAGTATTCGTTGTCAAGCGAATTATGTTCCTATTGTTAGAAGTGCTTTTTATGGAGTTGCACAAATAGCTAGTGCATGTAGTTATACAATAGGTGATTGTATTGCTGATGCAATGAAGATAGTAACATGTGCAACAGATACTGTTCAATGTACTATGCATGCATCAAAAACAAAATTATCACAATGTAATGATCAATCAAATAGTTACGTTCATATTGAATATGATTGTGTACCAATATCAATGGACGATTCAACAAAAGATTATAATGTTTGTCAAAATGGTACAGAAATAACAACTGATAGTGGAATAATACGAAGTCCTGGTTATCCAACGCAATTTCAAACAACAACAGCTGAATGTTTTCGTGCAATACATGTACCAAAAGATAAAACAATTCGTTTATGGTTAACTGATTTAAATATTGGTTCAACAGTAGGAACTTGTGCTAAAGATCATGTTTATGTTGTTGATAGTGTTCAAACATATCGACATTGTTCTCGTATACGATATGCTTATCCATATTTATGTTCATCAACAATTATTATTCAATATTATGTTACATCACAATCAATACTATATAAAGGAATGAGAATGTATTTTGAAATAGTTGATCGGCCTACAAATGATAGTTGTCCAAATCCAGATGGAACAGTAACACCTATACCATCTACAACACCAACAATAACAACGATTAATCCTATTCAAACTACACCTGTGCCTCCGTATGTTTTACTTGGTATTGCATCACCTGTTCAAAGTTTTCAACTTTGCCGAGGTAAACCATTTTATTTATTGAATATCAAAAACACGAAAGAAAATTTAAATTCTTCTTTTTTAGGCGAATCATTTATGATTGCATGTCCAAAGAATTATGGTGTAGTTATTGCTACAAATATATTTGGTGTTACTCAATCTAATCAATGTGAACAACATGATGCAGTTAAACATTGTTTTATTACAACACCTCAAACATTTTCATGTCGTCAAAGTTGTATGTATTTCTATCCGGGAAATCAATTGATATCAACATGTGGTAATAAAGTTGCTGCTTATCAATATGTTGAATATCAATGTATACCAACAAATACTGAACTTGTCTCACCAAATATTGCATGTCCATCAGATGGTTCAAAAATTCCAATACAAATAAATCGTCGTGGTCGTTTTCAAACATATGGTTATCCAAATTTTAAAAAAATGGATTGTAAATATCGAATACAAACAAATGAAAATTATATTATGAATTTTTATGCACTTGATATTAGTTTAAATGATTTTTCAACTGAATGCCAAGCCAATAAAATAACATTTGTTGAAGATGGTGAAAGTGAAGGTTCGGATTTTTGTGAACAACGTTCATATAGTTTAATTTATTCAAGTTGTTCAAATGAACTTGATTTACGTTATATTGCTAATGATGATTCAAAATTTTTTTCGTCTGGTGCTGAATTATATATTGAAAGTCAAATACGTCCAACTGATTGGGCTTGTGGTAAACCTGTATCAACAACAACTCAAACAACTATTCCAACATCACCATTGACAACACAAACAGCAGTAGTTTTAAATGAAACAAACATGTTTGCACGTGAAGAAATTGAACAAGATATTTGTTTCAATAGTTCATTTTCTCATAGTTGTCCATTTGGTTATACATTCATGATGGTAGGTGCTTTTTATGGTGTTAAAAAACAATCATCAAATAAATGTGGATTTGTTCAAGGTGATTGTGTAGAAGAATCATTATCAACAATAACACAATGTCGATATGATGCACCTGGTTGTTATATATTATTTTCAAGTAGACGTCGGCTTGCACTTTGTTCAGATCAATATGCTGATTATTTACATATAACTAGTCAATGTGTACCAAGTAAACCAGTTGGAACTGCATCGACTATAACAACATATGATATCTGTGATACAAATGATCGTATTGGAAATATACATGGAATTGTTACTAGTCCAAGTTTTCCAACTTATAAACCAGCAACTAATGAATGTAGAAGAACACTTGTGGGTATAACAGATAGAATGATAAAAATTTGGATTAATGAAATGGCCGTATCAAGTGGTGGACAACGTCGCTCCGATGGTATGAATTTTTTTTAGAAAAATCGTTTCTTTTTTTCTTTTCTAAATATTAATATTCTTATTATTTAGAACATTCGAATGAACCTGATTTAGTTCTTCATAAAAATGATGATACAAATAATTTAGATGATTTAGAACGAATGTATCCATCTCTTCGTGAGACTTGTGTCAAGGATTATTTAATAATAAATGCTCCACATGTAGCTTATGTTTATTGTGGTACACGTAAATCAGTTATTTCTCCATTTTGTACTCAAACTGTAGATATTCAATATAAAGCAACGTCACCACCAAGTTTTTCTTATAAAGGCTTTAAATTTTATTTTGAATGGGTTCCAAGACCATTGGGAGTAAATTGTGATGGTGGTATACTATCATCAACAACACCTATTAATGAACCCATACCGATTTGGGCAGAAAATTTACAACCTTCACCTATACTTTCTGCACATATTTGTCTTGGAGCAGCAATAACTTTACGATGCCCTCGTGGTTCTGATTATGTTGTTGCTATCGTTGAATCAAATTATGCTGCAACAGGTACAGGTTTCTGTGAAATTCCATCACCAACTCATTGTCATCAAGAAGCTTCACTTGGTTTGACATGTACACAATCATGTTTTATTGAATATATTGTTCCAAAACCACTTGTTCAATGTGGACTACTAGATGCTGATTATATTAATATAGATTATGAATGTATACCAACACGTTTACCAAATAATGAAAATCCAATTGATATATGTGGATCAACAACAACAAATACAATTGCACTTAATTCAGTTATGATGATTAGTCCACAATATCCAACATTATCTCCTACTATACGTAGTTGTTCAAAAACAATCGAAGCACCAATAAATAAGTTATGGATGATATATGTAGTTGATCTAGATTTGGAAGCTGGACTAATGGATATTAATGAATGTAATACCGTATCATTAACTATCAATGATGGAAAAGATAAACGTGTAGTTTGTGGTTCACGACTACCTCAATTAGTTTCAGTTAGTTGTTCAAATATAGTTGAGTTTAGTTTTGTTACAAGTCGTCAAACACTTGGTTATCGTGGTTTTAAAATTTTTGCTTACACCATTGATGTACCTGCTAATTGGGTATGTACACCAGATGGTTTTATAACAACAACAACAACAACAACAGCTCGACCTCCAACTACAACAAGTTTATCACCACCTAGTTTTCAAAGTAAATTATATATATATAAACAAAAAAAATTCGGTTTTTAATCTTATAAATTCATTTATTTCTAGTTGCTGCTTATGGTGGAACAACAACTGGTGCACGTCAATATTGTAAATTTCCATTTATATATCAAGGCAATCAACAATCAAGTTGTTTAACAGTCGATCCACCAGGTTCAACATCAGGTCAAGGTGCTCAAGAACCTTGGTGTTCATTAACAAGTAATTTTGATACTGATCATCAATGGGGATTTTGTGATTTAGGTGTTACGGATTCAACATTGTATGATATATGTCGTAGTCAACAACAATCACTTCGATGTCCACCTGGTTATGTTATTGATATAATAACAGCTGATTATGCAGCTAAACCTGATGGAAATATTGGCACAGGTGCATGTCTTTATGATGTCAATGATTGTTTTCAAAATGATGCATCAACTATTCAAAATACATGTGCTGGTAAACCATCATGTATAGCATATCATTTTTCTAAAACTTTAGCAACATGTCAAAATCGACGATCAGCTTATTTACATATTGATTATAAATGTATACCGAATGTTGTGTCTGGTATAACCACATATGATATGTGTAATAATAATTTATTACCACAAAGTAATACTCGTCGTGGCTTTATAATTTCACCGAATTTTCCAAATACACAAAATAGCATTGATTGCACATTTAATTTACAAATATTAAAACCAAATCAAGATATTCATCTTTATATAATTGATATGGATTTAAATTCTCCAAATTTACTTGGACAAGACTGTACAAAAGATCGTTTAATTGTTTCAGCTGATAATAATAATATAGAAATGTGTGGTAGAACATATACAAATTTTATACTTAGTACATGTCATTCATCGGTATCATTACGATTAATTCGAACATCAGATGCACGAGGACGTGGTGTTAAGTTTTATTTTGAATTTCGAGACAGATCACCAGAAATAACATGCATTCCATTAACGACTACTACATCACGTTCATCACCAGTAACACAAACAGGTACAACAAGTGCTTCAGTACCAAATTATTTTCCTGATCCAAGTCCTAGTTTGTTTAAGATATTATGTTATCCAGATTTTTCATCTTTATTAGTTCCAAATTTTGAATGTCCATCGAATTATGTAATTGTTATTCATCGTGCATTTTATGGTAAAGGTAATCGTTGCGATTATAATGTTGGTGATTGTACAACTGAAGCTGATAATGTTTATCGAATGTGTTCAGGAAAACAAAAATGTTCTGTTTCATATTTTAGTCAAGTTACTTTACCAGAATTTAACAATATTGTTGCTAATTATCTTTTTGTTGAATATCAATGTTTACCAACACCAACAATTGTTCCAAATACTGTAGATTTATGTACAGGTAAAATAGATGATATTGCTGATGGTAGTGGTGTACTCAAAAGTTCATTATATCCATCGTATGCACAAACACAATGTGCTAATGTAACATTAAGTACACTAGCCGGTTCTGATCTTATTATATTTATGTATTTACTTGATCTTGATATTGGTTTACCTGATCCCAGTACAGGTAATTGTACAAATGATTATCTATCATTATCTTATCAATGTAATGATCAATTAAATAGTCTACGTTTATGTGGTACACGTTCAACAGAACTTTTATTTAGTACATGTTTACCAACAGATAAAATTTATGCTTCATATAATTTATTAATTCAAGATCCACAAGCTCAACGTGGTTTTGCATTACTTTATCAAGTTGCATCAAAATTCACTTTACCTACAACTACTACAACAACAGCAGCAACATCATTAACAACAATTCCTGGTCTTGGCCCAATGAGTACAACCATTCAAATCGCAACACAATGTGCTCTACAACTTTTCTCTTTTCGATGTGATCAACCTGGATATGTTCTTGTTGTACATAAAGTACAACTTGGTGTCAGTGCAACAGGTAGTTGTAGCTATTCTTCAAATGACTGTTTTGAAGAGCGTACTCATTTATATAATGCTTGTGGTGGCAAAACATCATGTTTTATATCTGCACCTTCACTACCAATGAAATTCTGTAATGGTGCTAAATCAAATTATGTATATGCTGAATATCAATGTATTCCAACACGTCCAAAACTTATACGTGATATCTGTTCATCAACAGGTTCATCTGAAAAAGTTGAAGGTGCTGCAATAATTTCATCATTAAATTATACATCAGAATCTAGAAACTGTACAATACAATTACAAACAAATGAATTATTAGGTAGTCAAATTCATAAGGCATTTAAAATATATATTCTTACATTAAATTTACCGATACGACCAACACTACGTGAACAAGGTGCACAATGTGGTTTAAATGATCCATCAATTGAGATCAGTGGTACGCAATTAGGTGCAATACGTTTATGTGGTAATAGTCATACACGCTATTTACTTGAAACATGTTCAAATTCAATTGATATTCGTTATAATAATATGATTATAAATACTGCTACATCAAAGTATAAAGGTTTTGAAATTTATTTAGAATCTGTTCAACATGATAAATGTGGTGCAACACCTCCACCTCCAATTGTAACATCACCACTGATTATTACAAATCAAGTTGCTTGCGGGTTAACCAGTGGACGTGAAACTGTTAATTTTGCTTGTGAACTTGGTTATGGTCTAGTCTTTTTACAATCATATCATTTTGTTACAAGAAGACCTAATCAATGTGATGTTACTCAATATACATGTTTTTATCCTGGTGAACAACCACAAGCTCAATGTTCAGGTCAACAATCTTGCTTATATACTCATCCAATACCACTATTCTCACCATCAAATGCATGTCAAAATAGTCAAGCTGATTCAACACAATTTTATTACCAATGCTTACCAATGAGACCATCAACAGAATATCCAACAGTCAAATTATGTGCTAATCCAGAAACTTCAAATGAGATGGGTTTTATTGAAACGCCTAATTATCCAAATACTTATCAAGGTGGAAGACAACAATGTTCGATAACTATTCGTATACCAAATAATAATATTGGTAGAGGATATTCTATTTATCTTTATATAATTGAATTATCTTTACGTGATACTTCAACAATAAATCCATCATCAACTTCTGAATGTTTTGATTCCATAAAATATACTGATGGTGATACAACAAATTCATTATGTGGAAAAATTGATCAACCTATTCTACAATACTATACAAATAAACCAACACTTACTTTAACACTTAATATATCAGAACCATTACCATCTAGTGAATTGAATAATTGGCAAGGTGCACGATTATTTTATATTATTGGAGATCAATCTTTACCATCTTCACCAATGTCACTAATCACAACTAAAACAACAGTAACGACGACCGGAGTAACAAGAACAACAACAACAAGAACAATAACAACAAGAACAACATCAATAAGAACGACAACAACAAAGATAACAACATTATCAGCAACTCTTCCTGGCCCTGGTTCAATGAGTATGCATACTATATTAGTATCAGAATGTGTTCTACAACTTTTCTCTTTTCGATGTGATCTACCTGGATATGTTCTTGTTGTACATAAAGTACAACTTGCTGCAAGTAAAACTGGTGTTTGTAGTTTTTCTCCGAATGACTGTTTTGAAGATCGTACTCATTTATATAATGCTTGTGGTGGTAAAACATCATGTTTTATATCTGCACCTTCACAACCAATGAAATCATGTAATGGTACTAAATCAAATTATGCATATGCTGAATATCAATGTATTCCAACACGTCCAAAACTTATACGTGATATTTGTTCATCAACAGGTTCATCTGAAAAAGTTGAAGGTGCTGCAATAATTTCATCATTAAATTATACATCAGAATCTAGAAACTGTACAATACAATTACAAACAAATGAATTATTAGGTAGTCAAATTCATAAGGCATTTAAAATATATATTCTTACATTAAATTTACCGATACGACCAACACTACGTGAACAAGGTGCACAATGTGGTTTAAATGATCCATCAATTGAGATCAGTGGTACGCAATTAGGTGCAATACGTTTATGTGGTAATAGTCATACACGCTATTTACTTGAAACATGTTCAAATTCAATTGATATTCGTTATAATAATATGATTATAAATACTGCTACATCAAAGTATAAAGGTTTTGAAATTTATTTAGAATCTGTTCAACATGATAAATGTGGTGCAACACCTCCACCTCCAATTGTAACATCACCACTGATTATTACAAATCAAGTTGCTTGCGGGTTAACCAGTGGACGTGAAACTGTTAATTTTGCTTGTGAACTTGGTTATGGTCTAGTCTTTTTACAATCATATCATTTTGTTACAAGAAGACCTAATCAATGTGATGTTACTCAATATACATGTTTTTATCCTGGTGAACAACCACAAGCTCAATGTTCAGGTCAACAATCTTGCTTATATACTCATCCAATACCACTATTCTCACCATCAAATGCATGTCAAAATAGTCAAGCTGATTCAACACAATTTTATTACCAATGCTTACCAATGAGACCATCAACAGAATATCCAACAGTCAAATTATGTGCTAATCCAGAAACTTCAAATGAGATGGGTTTTATTGAAACGCCTAATTATCCAAATACTTATCAAGGTGGAAGACAACAATGTTCGATAACTATTCGTATACCAAATAATAATATTGGTAGAGGATATTCTATTTATCTTTATATAATTGAATTATCTTTACGTGATACTTCAACAATAAATCCATCATCAACTTCTGAATGTTTTGATTCAATAAAATATACTGATGGTGAGACAACAAATTCATTATGTGGAAAAATTGATCAACCTATTCTACAATACTATACAAATAAACCAACACTTACTTTAACACTTAATATATCAGAACCATTACCATCTAATGAATTGAATAATTGGCAAGGTGCACGATTATTTTATATTATTGGAGATCAATCTTTACCATCTTCACCGATACCAGTAGTCACAACTAAAACAACAACAATGACGACAGAAATAATCAGTACAATAACAAGAACGGCAGTAACACCTATAGATCAGACAAATGCACCGACAAATAAAAAACCAAATCGTGGAGGTCTTATCGCTGGTATTATTATTGCTATTTTGGCTGTAATAGCAGGTATCACTGGTTTTCTTCTTTATCGTCGTCAATTATCATTAAGGGCAGCTAATGGACCTACAGTTAAATATGATGCTGATATGACTACAGTCGATGTTTCTGACATGAATGGAACAACTGAAAAACGAACAAGTATTTCAAAAAATTCATTAAAAGGACCAGCAATAAAACCATTTATCAGTCCATTTTATAGAAAATCACAAAGTACTGAAAAACAAGAGACAGAAAATGCAACAGATGCATAAGACTATGTTCCAATATTTTTTTTCTGCAGCTTTTTTTTTGTAAACGTATTCATTGTAATAAAAATTAAAACAAAAACATTAAGGTGTTTTTCATACGTATGGATTAATTGTGCGTCGTGCTTTTTATTTTTCGAAATGATTCTGTTTTTTTAAAAATCTTTTTTTTCCTGCATGATGATAGACAAATGAAAATTCAACAATGTTTATTTATCATTTGACAGAAAAACGAAATTCTTGTATCATGGTATGTTTTCTGTTACTATCATATAGATCAACATATGTAAATGCATGTCTTTATTTTAATTAAGGTACATATAAAAGGAATTTTCAAAGACTTCTTCGAGAACTGTTTGCTATCGAGCATTTTTTTTCCATTATAGTAATTAAAAAAAACAAAATTACTTTGAAATATATGATAAAATTATAAGTTTTAAACTAAGATTTACTGTTTCATTTACACAAAAGACTTTTGAACATTTTATTAAATATTTGTTTATTGAAATTTTCTTGCTTACATGAATAAAAATACGAGTAAAACGTTTAAAAGAAAAAAAAAGCAAATGAAATCGTCAACAAATTTCTAAAATGAAAATCTTTTCTTTTTATATACTTTTTTATTATGTTTAAATAAAGAAAAAGTTGTTACTATATATGCTAATTAAATACAGGTTTTGACGACAACGAACAAATCGACATTCTATGTCCAGATTATCAACAAAACCTGCATTTATAGCCCATGATAATATAGGATTTCTAATATTTCTTCATTTCATCAATTGGATGACATCAGCTGGCATAGAGAGAGAAGGCGAGAGCCAGTTTGTTTAGTTGTCATTTGATGAGTACTTGCTCGCACTATTCAGCTGTTGAAATTTTTCTTTAGAATATTCTTCATGCAGTTGATGACTATAGGAAGTTATTACATTTTTATAAATACAAACGTTCTATATTATATATTGCATCACAAGAAAAAAGAAATAGAACAAAAAAGAAAAGAAAAATCATTGTAAAATAAAATATTCTTCTATTTATGTATTTATGTTTGTTTGTTGTTTTCTCTCATCTATTCATTTTACACAAAATGAAAGACAAAAAAGAAAAAGAAAAGAAGAACAAGTTATTTTATCAAATAAAATCAATACTGATTTATTTTCTTCTCATCATCGGTTAGTTATAGTTGTAAAATCCTCATAAAATGGTCGCGTTTGTCAACATATAAAATGCCTAATAGCCGGCACAAATCTAATTTCCCTTAGGGTGTTCTCCTGTATTCGTGCATAGGTGTTATGTTTGTATGTGAGTAACAAAAAAGTATTGCTTCTAGTTACAACTTGGTGATGTGATAGGTAGTCTAATAGTAGAAAGTAAGAGTGAGTCTTTTGGGGAATCGTCATTTATCGTTGCCGCTCGTTTTGACTATAAAAATGAGTTTCCGTTTCTTCTTCTTGTTCCTTTTTTCTTCTTCTCTTTCTCTTGTCGTCTTACATACTCAATTCTTCACGCATTCTTACTAAAGTTTTAACATTTTAAGATAATAATAACACAAAAAAGAAAACGAGAAAAAGAAAGTTTCTGCATGATAAACTTGCCTGTTTTTCCTTGTCGTTGATTGTAGTAATGCTTAAATGAAATAAACGTTTCTTTTCTTTTTTTTTGTGATTATTGCTTTCAACATATTCACTCTTTATATATAGATGAGCGGTTATAATTTTGAATAAACTTTAATTTCTTTTTCTTTTTTGTTATTTCTTTTCTTGAAATTGAACAAACCTAATCAAATCTATATACATTCATTTTTCATCTTTACTTTAAGTATCATAATAATGTTTGGTGTGTTGACACTTGACAAACAGACAAGAATTGTCGGCATGTATATGTATGCGTATAAAATAATGACATATTATCGAAGGTCTTTTTTTCTTATCAAATGCGTATAGAGACTATCTATTTGCTATTCGAAAAAGAAAATGAATTTTCGTTAGACAATATTTGCAAAAAAACTGAAGTTTGATCAAGAAGTGCGGAGGAAGAGAACGAACATCTCTTTTTTGTTGTCTTTGATCTTCTTTTTTTGTTCTTGCTTGATACAAACGATTTGATAATTGTGTCATTCAGGTTTTAGCACAAACGTTCTCTTGTACATTCTTCTATTTGCTGTTCAATATTGCTGAGCAAATAGACAAAAAAAAAACTATAAAGAATATAATTGTGATCTTTTCAGTTTATTAACGTAGGGTAACCATTTCATTTATATGCTTTGAACGCCCTACATATATGTAATAATGTACAGACAAAAACGAAAACCATCATGATTTTGATGAGAGTAGAACATCTTATTGATACATAATATGAACACTTGGGATTTACTCAAAAGTTTCTAAGTACAAAGTGAAATTCAAGTGACTCTTTATAGGATTATAGATGTTAATGTTTGGTTCATCATTTCGCTGAATTTATCTTTGGATATATGTATAGTAAACAAGTGAAAATTGAATTAGATTACTACTGCTCATCGAAAAAAGTTAAATAATAGAAGATATTCTATGATGGTAATCCTATACTCTATTGTAGAAGATCATTCATAATTATGACGATTATTACAATTTTTCTATCAATACTCTCTCGTAGTAATCACTTTTCTACCTTTTTTTTCACTTTTAATTCTTACATTAAACATAAGTGAAAGAGTCTTGATCGAGTTGTGACAAGAAAAAACAAGTTGTTTCAGATTGCAAGCTTAGCTGAAATCTTTTTGGCATGTAGGTCAATATTATTCTTTACTCAAGTCGATAAGTTCGAATTTCTTGTTGATATACTTCGTCGTGAATTCTTTCTTCAACAAAAGCATGATCAGTCTTTTTTGGTCCCACTTCTATGTCTATACAAAACATGCAATACAAAGTTTTTAATTGAACTACGTTCGTATTAAGTGTCTACTTAGAACATACCAAATGTAGTGGCAGTAGTACTATAATACCTGACACAAGGCTCGAGGGAATGTTCTCTCTATATAATAATACCAGTGCTCTCTAATTCTATAATATTTCACTATTTCTTCGGTTGGTTTAATAATATTAGAATTTCAATGAAAGCTGTTCACTTCTGATAAAGACCAATAAGGAGAACTTTCGCTTTTACATTTAAGTCTATACTGCACTTTATTTTATTTTTGGCAGCCAGACTTCGACATCTGAGTACAGTTGAAAGATTGTGCATGACTTCTTGAAGGTTGAGAAGATGTTAAGAATGAAGCATGATTGGGTGCATCTGTAATTGCATAACATCTGAAAAGATCAAACAAATTTATTGCCTTGTTAGTAATGATTCTTATATTATAATTGACGAATTGCAAACGTGAAGTGATCTGAATCATGGCACCATTCAAGGAATAATCTCTAATCATTATAAACTTAAAAAGATTCTCGCTTCTCAAATATTGAAATAGCTTACGTTGAGAATGACCATGAAACATATTAGTCATTCTTCATCTTCAACCTTTTTTCATCCTTCACGAAACCATGCATATCATCTTTCAATTGTTTGAAGAGATGGAGTCTGATTGCCGAAAACAAAATAGAGTGTCATATAAACTTAAATGTAAAAGCGAAAGTTTTCATTATTAATCTAAATTAGAGTTGAACAGTTTTGATTGAAATTTCAAAATTATTATACCAATTGAAGAAAAGTGAAACATTATAGAATTCCAGAGCACTATTTGAATAATCAATATATATATATATATATATGGTAGGCCATGAATAGCACTATGATAGAAAAAATTAAAATATCATCGCTTTTATTTTCACGAATCGCTTGATTTACTCGTTAGTTGTAGAAGCTTATTTCGAATTTTTTTTCATACGGATAACATAAACAAATACTACTGCCAAGTTATATCTTTGGCTCTACTAAGAATATTTCACCTATTGCTAATTAAGAAAAATACACATGAAGCGTTTCATACATAATTTTCAGTCGTCATCTAAGAGATTAATAATCAGAAATCAAAATAAACTTTATAAATAATACTATATTGTTCCACAAAGAGCAAATTTCAAAACTAAAAATCAGTTTAAACGTGGAAATTCGCTGCTCGCTGCAGCTCTTTGGGTACTAATTTCCTTACAAAAACCAGTGTTTCATATTTGAAAGTTCAAGACTTTGTAACCATTAGCTTTTAATTTAATTAGTTCAAAAACTTACTCTATGTGCATCAATATAATATCATTGATAAAACTCATTTTGATTTCTTCTTCTTATTCTCTTAGATGACAATTGAAAATAATCTATGAAACACTTCATACGTATTTTTCTTACTTGATAATAAACGAAATTTCTTTAATAATGCAAAAGATATAACTTATCATTTGTATTTGTTTACATTATCAGTATGACAAAAAAAAAATTCTACGACTAACCAAAACAATAAACTCATTCGTACGAATCGAAGCGGAGATATTTCAAGTTTTTATCGTAGTACTATCCATGCCTCATTGCTGAATATAGATATCATTTCCTGAAGCCTTCTATGAAGTATTATAGTGCTCCTACTACTGCTTTTAGTATGCCCTAACTATATTTGAAATCATTAATATGCAATCATCTTGTACGTCATGTGGTTACTTCATTTGATATTGCTGTATCAGTGTACAAACCACAAGTTACATAAATATCAAACAAGTTCCTACACATATGTCCTATATTTTCTATTTACTTAATAGTTTATCTTGTCTTTATTGATTTAATAATTAAATTCATTTTCATTTCTGTTCCACTAAAAATTTTTATTACAACAATTTTTTTCTGATGCACGACAGAAAATGATAAAACACGAATAAAAGGTATATACGAAGATAAAATATACAGAAAAAAAAGAAAAAAAACTAATAGTTATATAGTATATAAATCCATTCATATTTATTTCTTTTTCTTTTTATTGTTACTTGGTGGTGGAGGTGGTGAAGGAGCTGATCGCTTTTTGGATACAACTGCAGAATGTT